GTAGGAACCGGGTGGAGGGGAGCTATGGGGGGGGGAGAGGAACAATTGTAATAATCTGAACAATAAAGATTTTTAAAAAATAAAAAAAAATAAAGAAACAAGCAAAAAAATGCAGGGACAGAAATCTCAATGTCCTAGAAATTATTTTAAAGAGAATACAAATGTAAGTCAGATAGCTAATGTGGAACTTATAAAGGGAATAATCTAAGTGAAATGGGTCTGTGTTGGCTAATTCATTAAATGAAAATATTGAAGTCATAAGTACTAGTATAATCATTAGAGGAGTTATTATATGCTGTCTGAATGTCAGTTATCAGATGTCAATTCCGTGTGCATATGATGTTTTCAAGTGTGACTCTTTAAATAAGCATGTAGTTGTCCATATTATTCTTAGAACTATTGGTAACTTTTCTTCTTGTTTATATAAATAAGATTGAAGTGTAACTGGATTACCCTAGTACACTGATTATATATATAGTCTAGTTTTAGATTAGTGAGCACAGCTGCTATCTGAAGAGCTCGTCAGTGCTCACAGGTCTATAGCCTTCCATTATGGTTAGTCATCTTTTTTTAACTGAACCCCTAGTGGTGTTTATTGCAACCTTTACATAATTTGAGAACCTATTATGTTCTGTTCACTTTTCTAAACACTTTTCTTACTCATTGTATGTAATCTTTACTCTGTGAAGTAACTACCAATAGCCTCACTTTACATATGAGAAAAGTGAGGCTCAAATTGAAGGAAAGACTCTGGCCAGGTTAGAACTCAAACCTACCAGGTAGGTGAGAGAAATTGAGAAATAAAATTGTCCCTGATTCTCTTCTGTAATTTATATATTTTTAAATGTTCTAATTTTTCATGCAAGTTGAGTCAATTTTCTTTCTTTTACAATATAATAAAAACAATTACAACAAATAAAAGAGGCTGTAGATACAATTCATGATTGTGCACAAGCCTCTTTCCTTATCTGGAGCACACCCCTCTATTTGTTACCCTTCTAGCCTGTTTCAATGGCTTGAAAACAATTTTCATGGTTTTCTAATTTCCCCAGTAGATAAGGTCCCTGATATTTTGCATAGAGTAGTGCTGGAAAAGTTGTACTCTTCAAGAGTGGAGCTCAACTATAGCAAGAAGCATCTGGTGGCCCTAGCTAGTTTGCTCAGTGGTTAGAGCGTCAGCCCATGAACTGAAGAGTCATGGGTTCGATTCCAGTCAAGGGCACGTACCTAAGTTGCAATCGGCAGTCAGGGCATGTGCAGGAGGCAACCAATCAATGTGTATCTCCCACATCAATGTTTCTCTCTCTGTGTTTCTCCCCCTCCCTTCCACTCTCTAAAAATCAATGGAAAAAATGGCCTTGGGTGAGGATTAACAAAAAAAATGTTGTGTTTTATTTTTTTAAAGAAGGAGCTGGTGTGGGATCTAGACAACTTACCTGGCATAAAGGAAGAGAGAGAGTCCTTTGAACAATATCCTACCTAATAATAGACAAACATGGTAATTAACCATACCTCCGCTACACTTCCCATTGGCTAATCAGCAGGATATGCAAATTAACTGCCAACAAAGATGGCGGCCGGCAGCCACGCAGCTGAAGTGAACATGAGGCTTGCTTGCTCCAGTGATGGAG